GGGCGCAGGGAAAGGCGGTGTTTTTACCGCGGAATCGCGGCCGTACCGCGGTCAGTTCGGTCGGTTCCGCTCTCTCTGCCGCGCTGCCCCCGTGTTAATCCCGGGTTTGTGTCATTGCCGGTTCTGTGCACGTGTGCCGTGCTTGTCCGCCTTGCCGCCTGCGCTCCTGAGCCTCCCGAGCCTGCAGAACGGCTGTCGTAGGCTGCCCGAGTAAAGTTCCTTTCTTTTCCGGTAGAAGCGGTGGCTCTGTATTGGTGGGCGCCGCTCCGTAGCGCTCTTTGCCGCAGATGTTGGCGTTTGCTCGGCAGGGAGGCCGCCAGGTGAGGCTCAGCCTCCTCTGCCCGGCACTCAGCAGTCGGACAGGAGGGCGCAGTCTGAACGTGTGCCGGGGGGGGTTCAGGCTGGGCATTTGGAGGAATTTATTCGCAAAGTGGCTGATTAGACATTGGAATGGACTGCCCATGGAGGTAGTGGGGTCACGGTCCCTGGAGGTGTTTAAGGAAAGACTGAACACTGGACATGGCCCTCAGTGCCTTGGTCTGGTTGACAGGGTGGTGTTTGATCTTTCCAACCTCATTCATCCTGTGAAATCTGAAATTTCCCCACGGAAATAATGCATACTGAGAAATACTTTTCAGTCCTCAATGAAAATAAGGGGACAGTCAAGTTTCCTAGTAAAATAGAAGTATCTTTAGTGCACCTTCAGTGGTATGTAATATTCAATGAAACTTTTAAGCAGCACATGCTGTAACCACCACAAAGTGTAATTAGCCTAAGTGTGACAAGTGAACAGTACTAACAGTATATAGATAGTGAGGCAGAAAATAACTTTATAAACAGGGAATTGCTCAGTTCTTAGGCTTTTGGAACAGATTTTTTTTAAGTTAAATGTATGTTGAGCTCTGTATCTTTGGGGCTGGGCAAAGCCTGTACTGTTACTTGAAAGAGGAATGTTAAATACTAAATTGGGTGAATGAGAAGTGCTAAATCTATATAGCCACCAGTCTCTGTCCCCCACACAAATATTTTGTGCTGGTCAATTATTCAGCAGTGCAACTGCTTTCCTTTGCCTGTCATTTCCATGGGAACTGGCCAGACACTTCTCTGGTCTTGTGGCTTCTTTCTAAGAATAGTTGTTGTCAGGTGATTGAGAAAAAATAAAGTTACAGATGTTGAACATGGGATAATCACAGGTGTTAAACATGGGATAATTCCTTCAACCAAATTAGGCTCCCCTGTGATTTCCTGTGGCTGAGCTGGGTTTAAACCTTGAAGCTGAATGCTTAAGTACCTTTAACATGACTTGTTTTAAGAGGGCTCTGGCTGCTTTTGATCATACCCTGAATAAAAAGTCCATCTCTTTAATACTTAATAGTGTCTTGTGGCTTCCTGTAGCAATAAGTACCAGTTTCAACACGTGAAAAATGCTTTCATCTCTGTGATTTATCTCTGAGCTCCTGTACTGTGAGATGTGAGAGAAGTTCTGGAGCCTGCAGTGTTGTAGGGAAATGCTTCCTGTATGGTATAAAATGCTTATGCTTTGGGTTTTGGTTTTTTGGGTGATTTCCTCAGCCTGCTAGCCAGCAGTGCAGTGTGTGCTGTGGGCTGGCAGTGTCCTGGTCTGCTGCTGCAGCTCAGCCCTCCTCTCCCTTTGGGCAGCCCCATCTGAAGTCCCAGCAGTGCTGTGGTGGCAGGTGACAATAACAATGGCAGGAGGCAGGAAAGCCTCCCTGGGTCGGTGACATTTGTTGTGGCATTCAGTGGGTGAGCAAACAGAAGGAGCTGCCATAGGAACAGGCTGTGAGCACATCAGTTACCTCAAGGAAAGGACTCTGGAGATTGGGTGAAAATGCACTTAAGAATGGAATGGAAGCACAACCTTTCACTCATTATTATTTATACTCTGGATGCAGCTTGGGGCACCTGTGTGTCAGAACAGGGGCTTTTGGGCTTGACAAGCTCTCTGGAACTCTGCTATCTTTCACTACTATGTCATTCTTGAGTACTCCAAGATTTTTAAGTGAAATAAGTCAGCACATTGGTTATTATTTTGGGCCCTCTCTGGAGTGCAGCTCAGTGTTAAATAAGGAACTACAAATGAATCTCATGGAACTGAGTGGTAGAAAATGAGTAAGTCTTACACAATAGGTGCATTGTTTGCTTTGTATGTTCAGGAGGAATTGCTGTTATGAGGATAGTCATGATCCAGAATGATGTTTATGGCTGCAGTACTACACTTCCCTAAGTTATCTGCAGGATAACTTGCATTAACTATTCTGGTCAGCTGGTTTCAAGCTGGTTTGGGTTTAAAAAAATTGTTTTCTAAGGTAACCCTCAGTGTAGTTTACTAGCCTTTATTAAAAAAAAAAAAAAAGCCAAAGAAACAAAACCTAAAAGGAACGAAAAAAACACCAAAAATCCCACCCAAAAGCTAGCTTTCCTCACCCCCTTCCAAATTCATCTCTGAATTTTGACTTCCACAACTTGCATGTGGTCACCTATGCTGGCCCCGTGTTCACAGCTAGCAAAGGCTTCTGTGTCTTGTGCAGGAGCTGCTGGTGCACCTGGGGTGAGAGTTCTGTCCCTTCTCCACTGCTCACCTGCTGCCTCATTGCTTCAGAGCAAAACATGAGCAAAGCAAAGCTCTTCACATCAACTTTGTGTTTTCTACAACGTTGGCAGTGTATCTAGTGTGGTATAGCTCAGACATTTCTAAATAGCTGCAGAATTGAAGCTATAAGTTGCTCCTCTTGTGCTCAGGCAGGGGTTTGTACCTTACTGCACATGTAGCTGACCAGGCAGGATGTTCTGTGCTGCTGCTTTTGCCCAGGGTCAGTGTCTTCCATTGCAAAGCTGATGTTCAGGATTGTTTTTGTAGATGGACCTAGGACTCCACAGATGCTTTTTTGATAAAATGACACTTGAAAATACCATGTTATGTTACTAGGTTGGTGATTTACGTGTAAGATACAGAACATAAACAGCTTTATTCAACAGGGACTCTGACAGAGCTGTGTTCTGATTCATTGTGTGTCCTGCTGGATCTCACTGGTAGGTTTTTGCTGTATGTTCTCTTTCCTTCATTTGCCTTTTGTCACCACATCCTCAAACTTCAGGCTTGTGTTAATAGCTTATGTGTTGATGTGATCTTGTGTATCACTTGATAATAACCAGGTTATTTTTTTGGAACCCCTGCAGTTCTAAAGACTGATAAAAACTGAAAGTAGCTTGCCTTCTGAAGCTTGAAGAAAAGGGTAAGCTGATACATATTCAGACTTGGAAAGGTAAAAGTTGGAACTTGTTCATTAGTGCTGCTGTTAAGGTATTTTCTATTCCTACAGAAGTAAAGCTGGTACAAACAACCCCTCAAGTGACACCTATGCTCCTGTGGTGTGCTGTTGACAGCAGTGTAGGTGATTGTGCTACCCCTGTCACTGGAAAATGCTGCAGTTGTCTTCAGACATGGAGTAGAGTGCCCTTGTGGTGATTTAGTCTGATCACCACCTCAGCCTTCAAATCAACACACATACAAATTGAGTTTTCCTCCTTCTTAACTCTCCATATCTTGGAGAGATACAGAAGAAATAAATTAATATCGTGTGTTAATATGGAAATGCTTCAGTTGATGAATTCAGTACCTAGTCCCAGTGTTGAGTACAGTGTGGGACCTGGCTGTTCCAATTCAGAGCAGAAGTGAAAGTATTCTCTGTCTTCTGTTAATGCAGACAGAGTTTGATGTAAAGCTGACACTATAAATGAATGAAACTCCAATTTCCCCCCAGCTGCTGCTAAACTACAGTGGCTAAAGTTCTCTGAGAAGATACAAATGTTTCTGCTGGCTCATAGCTGGTATCATGGAAAGGATAGTTCTGAACTTGTAGCCATGATTCTATGTTGTTTGCACACCAGAAGTAAGGAAACCAATGCACATGGACTCAGCCAGATACTTCCTGGGGTTGTAGCAAATATGTGTTTGTTTCAGTAATGCTTTGGCTTGGTGTTGCTGCTAAAAAACCTTCTTTTCAGAGCCCTGCTTGCAGTGTTTTATATGGCTTTAGGCTGAACCAGGTAAATGGTAATCTATTAATCAG